GTGCCTTTCTGTGCTAAGTGTCCCAATTACCTGAGGTAGACACTCTTGGTGCACCCCCTTGTGGTCTTTGTGCACAGTCTTGTTGTAGTTAAGCCTTGATTGTTGTAGTTATCACTGGGAGGAATTGACCTCCAGGCCAATTGGCTGTGAGAATCAGCTGTGTCTGCAGTGGGAGAACTTCTGTGCTGGAGACACCCCTCTGGGGCAAGACTTGCTTCAATGGGGCTTTGGTGCTCACTGAGTCTGTCCCCCGAGTGTCAAGATTCAGTCTTGAGTGGCCTCAGGCAATTGTCCATAGGTGGGGTGAGAGGTTCTCCAACTGGGTGGGGCAATGGCTTCTGCCTGGAGGCTATTTGTTATTCTCAGTGTCTTAATGTGCCTCAGAAACTCCACACCATGGGGCAAGGTATTTTCCAATGGGATGGGTCAACTGTCTTCCTTCCTGGAAATCCCTGCCTGGAAAGCAGTGTCTTTGTGAGAAAGATGACCTCCGCAATGTGAGGGAATAACTCAGCACAGGAAAACCAGGTGTCTTGCAAGCTCTAACCCCAGAGCCCCAGTCCTCACACAGCTCCAGTCCTCTCTGCCCTCCCTCTGCCGAAGTACAAGGTGGGTGGCTCCATGGGGGAATTTTGTGCCTTGGCCCTTTAAGAGGGTGCCTGCATTTCCAGCCATCTCTCCCTGGCAGACAGCACCCCCACTGCTTTTCACAGCCAGATGTTATATGGGCATCTTTCTCAGTTCTTGTGCTCTGGGTTGGGGGCTCTTGTTTGGAGTTTAGACCCCAGAGTTCTCAGTGGGAACCCCCACAGATACCTTTCTGGAACTTCAGTTGCCATCTGTGGAAGTCTGGCCAGCCCTTTCGCACCTCACCCCTCCTACCAGTCTCGATGCCATTGCTACTCTCCTTCCTTCGTCAGTTGATTATTCAGGATGGTGTTTTTTTGTATTTTAGTTGTAATTTCAGTTTGGTCCTCAGAGCATGTCTGTGTAGCATCCTTGTACTCCACAGCCATTTAATCTCAGACCATAATGATTGATGGATGCTAAATCAAAAGGAGGGAAAGTTTAATAAGAATCAAATTATTAACATAATTTCAAAGTACATTTATTTACTTGTTTATTTTTTTAATTCTCATCAGAGGGTATTTTTTTTTCATTGAGTTTTTTTCAGAGAGTGGAAGGGAGGGAGGAGGGGAAGAGAGCAAGAGAGAAATGTCGCCACGAGAGAAACACATTGGTTGCCTCCCACGCGCACCCCCACTGGGTTTGGGGATCAAACCTGTAACTGAGATAGGTGCCTTCGACCAGGAATCAGTCCATGGTCCAACACTCTAACCACTGTGCAGTCCAGCCAGGGATTTTTTGTTACTTATTAATTACACCAGGAAAAATAGTAGCTATATAGTGATGAAAATATCACAGGTGAGGGGCAATCAAATATTATGCAACTTTAGTACACAATATACATTAGTCCCAGGTTGTACAGCCTGAATTTAATCATGAGGGAATATCTGACAAACCCAAAGGGAAGGACATTACTAAGTGTACTGGTTAATAATGAGGATTTTTTTTCAATAGATGGAGTTACACATAGTTGATATATATGCGATTTGATGTGTATGCTATTTTGCTGTATTGACAACAAGCTTCAAAACTTCATATGTCAGATTTTCTGAAGGTGTTAATACCATAGATATTTTTACGCTTAAAAAAATGTCAAATTTCGTGCCAAAAAAAGAGCATTTGTGGGAAGTTTTAATTCATTACTTTATTTTGAAGAAAAGTGCTGCTAAAAGTTATCGTATACTTCGGGAAGCTTATGGTGAACATGCTCCATCTCAAGATGCTTGTGAACGCTGGTGTAAATGCTTTAAACATGATGATTTCTATGTGAAAGACAAAGAACATCCAGGTCAACCAAAAAAGTTTGAAGACCAACAGTGACAAACATTATTGGATGAAGATGTGTGTGAAACTCAAAAACAACTTGCAGAAAGATTAAACGTTGCTCAGCAAACAATTTCCGATCGTTTACAAGCAATGGGAAAGATTTTAAAGGGAGGAAAATGGGTGCCACATCATCTGAACGAAAGACAAATGGAAAACCCAAAAATCATCAGTAAAATGTTGCTTCAACGGCACGAAAGAAAGTGTTTTTTGCATTGAATTCTCACTGGCGATGAAAAGTGGATTTATTTTGAGAATCCCAAATGCACAAAATCATGAGTTGATCCAGGTCAACCATCAACATGGACTGCAAGGCCAAATCGCTTTGGAAAGAAGACAATGCTCTGCATTTGGTGGGATCAAGAAGGTGTGGTGTATTATGAGCTTCTAA